CAAGTCAGCAGGCAGATGTAATAAATTCATCCTTTTAAATTGCATTGAGTTTGACAGCAGGCTTCAAAATGCTATTTTGGAAACCGTTTCAGTTATTAAACTTTTTTTGCGTTATAAATGTTTATCTTGTTTACATCATGCCTGTGTTATATTTTATTGATAGTATTTTATATGCAAATTTTTTGACTCTTCTTACTGCTGTCATATATCAGACATTCTATTTTCCCTTTAACTGAACAGTTGCTAAGATAAATCATCTACATTTAGCAGTGTACCCCTATATAAGAGAAGCATTGTTTTCTTAGTACCTGCTGGTATATCTCATTTGCCTTAAAGCTGAACAGTGGGCAGATGTTAACGCAGCACTATAATCATAACTTCATCGTTACATGTGTAAGTACCTGAATTTGACCTGGTATTGGCCTCTTGCAGTCCCTGTACAACAGAGCCGGAGTGTTATGAAGTAGCAGCACAAAGAGCCAATCAGACACATGCTGACTGCTCAGGTAGTCTTGTATGTTTTCAATCCCTATGCTTGAAATCCCAGTCTGGCAATTGTGATAATTTTGCAGAGATCCACAGTGACTTTACCACTGATATTTCAACATGGCATATATTTTATATTGGGGCAATCTTTTTCACAGTAGAGAAAGTAATTTATTAATCAAACTATGTTCTTATAGTAAATCTGTCTTATTGTTCCTGCTTATTATTACGTTGCTGTGTCACAATAATGCATTTTTTCACGTGCTCTTGGGCTCAGTCTAAGCATCTGTCTCTCTACAATGCAATAACATTTAGTGAGATTGCTTTCTAAGCTTATTATTAAAGAGACCCTGTCACCAGATGATTTCAACAAACATCTTCAATTATGTGTGCATTTAATGTATTGTATGGATGTTATTTACATGTGGAAGCCTTCCTTGTTTATTCAAAAGACCTGACAATAGTATAGAATTCAAGTGACACTCTATAGCAGGGGCAGGCAAACTCCGGCCCTGCAGCTGTGGTGCAACTACAAGTCCAATAAGGGAGTGCAAGACTCCAGCAGCCACAGGTATGACTCCCAGAGGCAGATGCATTATGGGATTTGTAGATTCACCAACGTTTGGCTTCCCCTGCTCTACAATGTGAGTGTGGATTACGATGACGTGTGCATTTTACAGCACTTTTCCGCAGCATGGTGCTGTAAATGAGACCATAGAGTGGATAATTGATCGGTATAGTTGTGCTATGGTGGTTTTTTTATCACAATCTATTTTACCGTTTGTGTAGGTATGGAAGTGTTTCATTCACATGTTTGGACACTTTTTAGGAAATTATCCCAATGTTAGTTTTTCCCCAGTCATCTTCCAGGACAGCCAATGAGATAAGGCTCCGCCTGCCTGCAACAGGAAACACATCAACCACATTAAATAAAAAGACGACTCCTTCCATCCCAATTCAGTTTTTTTGTGTGTTTCCTCCGGCTACACAGGGACATCGTAATGTTTGTTATTTTGGGCTCATGGTTTTATTGCCTTAGGGCAGAGCCTAACCCTGCATGCGTTGGGACCACTCCGGGCATTGGGAAATTATCCCAATGTTAGTTTTTTTTTTCCCTTAACCTTCTTGGCGGTATTCCCAAGTGTGGCTCGGGGTTAATTTTCAGTACCAAAAGCGGTAACCCCGAGCCACACTCGAGATTACACAGCGCTTCACTTAGCTTCTCCCTACGAGCCTCACTGTGTCCTCCGGCCGATGCCGTCTTCTGAGTTCCATCCCTTGCAAGCGGCTGCGTTGCAGGGGGGCGGAACCAGCCGGAAAAAAAAAAAAATCAAAAACAAAACGGAAAAAAAGGACACAAAAAAGCAAGAAATATTGGGAAAAATCATACAGTCAGGGAGGCTAACCAATTCTTATACATAACACTTTTAAAGCTTGGTCAGATAGGAGTCTAAATGAGGCATTGGCAATCCTTTCTGACCCCTGCCAAGAATTGATTTTAATTGATTGTATTGAGCTTAAAGCGGAACATGACCAACCAAAATCTCCCAAAACAGTTACTTATAAGGCATGCCAACTGTCAAGGTTGCCAGAGGACTTATTTCAGTTCTCAGCCAAACTTTCAAGCTCTCAGATGGCTGGTGACATAGCTGATCACATCTGCAGCACAATGGCAACTACAATCCAAATACAGGTTAAGATGGCACCTTACGTGGCTGCAAAGGTTAAGAGGGTCTACGTTTTCCCTTTTTAATTTAAGTACAGGCAGAGTACACATGTGGGTGGCCAGGGCTTTGTGGCATGACAGCCCAAGTGCTGAATGCAAGATTTAGGCCCGTATCCATAGGCAGAGTATTTTAAAGGAGGCCAGAATGCCACATAAGAAACGCTAGATCTGAACAAACCTTTACTTTTGCACTGACAATGGAAAACGGGAAATTAGAGGTTGTTGTCTAATGCCGATTCTTGGGCTTTTGTTTCATAAACCTGTGGATATGTTATATATCAGACACCGGACATAATCTGTTTTTCTTTCTCTCAATACGTAAGTATGTATTTGTGTGTTACCTTTTAGTGGCCATAGACTTTTTTTTGCAGTATATGCTAATCCTAGCCTTGGAAATGGATAGTCCAGAACTGACCATAGATATTGGTGGGTTTAACATCTGACTGTCTCCCAATATTTTATGAGGCAGTTTCTCCCCTAAACAGGAGCAATTTGGACATGTGAAGAGGGAAGGGGAATTTTGCGCATGTACAGGTGAAACTCGAAAAATTAGAATATCGTGCAAAAGTTCATTTATTTCACTAATGCAACTTAAAAGGTGAAACTAATATATGAGATAGACTCATTACATGCAAAGCAAGATAGTTCAAGCCGTGATTTGTCATAATTGTGATGATTATGGCTTACAGCTCATGAAAACCCAGATCCACAATCTCAGAAATTTTTTGGCAGTGTGGGCAGGTGCCAAGTTCTGCTGGAAAATTAAGTCCGCATCCCCATAGAGCTCGTCTGCGGAAGAAAGCATGAAGTGCTCCAAAATCTCCTGGTAGACGGCTAAGTTGCATTAGTGAAATAAATGAACTTTTGCACGATATTCTAATTTTTCGAGTTTCACCTGTATTCCAGGCATCGAGAAAAACTGAACTGGCTAGGCCCAATCACCTTGTTCCTCTAGAGAGCTCGTTCAGTTCTTGTTGCTGTTCAGGATTTATTTCACTTCAAGTTAGTGGACTCATTTGTGACAGTTCTATTTAAATGACCGTATAATAATTTTATGTTCCGTTCTCTAAAGTTTAACTACACACATATATAAATCAAGGCGTTTTCTAGGAGTCAAAGCTTGTAAAGAACTTGGTGAGATCCACTTTGTCAAGTGTTCAATTGAATAGGTTCTTTGTGACTGTATCAAGCAATTAAATTCCATCCTTCCTTTTCCTGGCCTGCTCTGGATTCTGAAGGAAACAGGAACACATTAGTTTCGAACACCTTACATGAGGCATAGTGTGTTTTCTAGCATTTGAGTCTCATGTCTAGTCAGAACGTTTCATTGATGTACTTGCTGCAAAAGTAAAAATCCGATAAATATACACAATGTCTGGCTCATGCTGATGCATGCATGCATGCATGCATGCAGACTTGTGCAGAAATATTTGGTATCTAAAAATTATTCCTTGTTCAAGTGATGGGATTTAATATATAAATTGACCCACTTTAAAAGGGAGACAGAAAAGCCAATTATGTCAGAACATTAGCTGGAGGCAGATGACCCACTTTTAAGGAATTTACCTCCTTCTGTATCACTGCTTATAGAGAACACTACAAACAAGTACGGTATATTTCATTCATTCTTTGAGGATTCAACATGTAACTTGTGATGAATTGAAATCAATTCAGATTTCAGCTGTCAAAGAAGCAAAGAAAAAAACTGACCCTTTAGTCGGACTACCCTATTTGTTTTGTCTATAGGGAATGCAAAGCTGTTTTACTTACTTGATCCTGGCTCCCATGGCGGTCCGCGTTCGCCTCTCTTCCCTCTACTCCTGATGTTGGAATGTTCCCCGGTGTCCTCATGTCTAATGCAGGTCAATGGACCTGCATAAGCTGTGATGACATAAGCTGTGCATAGACCACCAGAAGAGCCTGTGGGGACTGGTCTAATAGCCTAGAGGGAGCCAGTGGGACTGAGGATCAGGTAAGTGAAACGGCTAATAGTGTCTCCTAGATAAAACAAGCACCTAACCCTTCAAGTGTGGGGGTAGCCCTGTAAGGGACCCCAATGATGTCCAAGAGCCATAATGCATTTTTAATAGGGGATTTTCTATTGTGGGGAATGCAATATGACAATGTTTTTTGTTGTTGTTTCTTTTTGCGTCATTGTTTTATTAAAATATTGAAACAAACATTTAAAACACTGTTAAATGCATATCTCTACTTATAGCACTTCTCATTCTTTTAGTTAGCATGGCATCCATGCCTTTTCTCATCCCTTCTGGCAGTACCTGTTTATAGAGGCTATTGTAAGGTTTTAATTGCTTGGTAATGTTTTTTTTCTATTGGCTGACCTCCTCCAGTAGGAAAATAATAAATAATTGCAGCCAGTTGGGAAAGGTGGGATGATGTCAATGTATCCAGGCAGACTGCATACAGGCCTAGAAAGCAGGTCAGACTTGTGAAAGCAGACAGTTTTTACAGCTGATATTTGGGAATAGCTAGAATGCTGTGACATGAGAGCAAATAATTAAGTGCTTGCAACATTCTCTAAACACAGATACTGTTATATGCGATAGAAAGCGCGGGGGGGTGGCGCCCAAGTGTAATTTTAACAGTAGAATTGACTAACATGACTCCTGGTCCCAGTCCCAGAAGTTGAACAAATCCTAATAAATAATCTTATTTTATATGTTTCCCTCTATACAGTATCATTTCAAAAATGTAGCTATATCCTTCAATGATGTGCTTAATTAGATTGTACCTAGTTTGGTAAGTGTTTTTAAATTTTAAATTTCAGGTCCACGAATAGCTCTCGCAAGACTCCAATCAGGTGAGCATGCTTATAGTTTTGGTAATAAATTCATAGAGTAGAAATGCCTCTTATGTCAGTGAGCAGCCAGCATACATTGTATTCCCCAATGTTTAGTTACTTTGCTAAATTGTGGTAACCGGTTTTATAAGATACAAGATCCAGAAATGATTAAGACATTGCTCCTAAAGTTATTTATGTGTATTTTTGTTTTGAGTGGTTACCCGTGCTAATCGTTCAGTCCGGGAGACGCTGGAGCAGGACCCTGGTTCCTCTGCGCTCCCACGGGTTCCCTAGGTCCCCGTTTTTTGATGACTTCATCTATCGGGGGTAGAAGCGTCCCGCTTATTCATTTTCGGTTCCGCAAAGTTTTTCGGTTCGTTAGCCATTTGGGGGGGCTTTGTGGCTGAGTGGTCGTCGTTTTCCACCCAACCCCCCCCTGTGGCCCTTTGGTTTTCCCGCCGGAACGAGGCGACTTCTCTCCGTTCATTGAAGGACACAGGTCCCGCCCCTCTGTGTGGGTGTGTACTCTTAACTGCTTGTTACTTACTGGAGACTTGTCAGCAGGTGGGGGGTTTGGCCACCAGCAGGGGCCGCCCCTAGGCTGTAATTGGTCTTTAGTTTTGTGCCTAGCGTCCTTCTCCTGCAGGTGGCGATATTACCCTACAGTACATGATCCTAGATCTGTTCCCTGTGTCCTTCAATGAACGGAGAGAAAAGGATTTTACGGTGAGTACAAAAATCCTATTTTTTCCCTCTTCTTTAAACTTTTTCAATGGGTGTTCACCAGGTTTTCTGGTTCAAGCAGTTAATCACATTGCATCAAATGGGCAAAGTCACAGTGAAGAGTAAAGGTGGCCATACACTAGTTGATTTTCGAAAGAACTGTCATACGAAACATTTTTTGTTTGAATTTTCTGTTAGATGTTGAGGTCAAGTTGATCATCAATTTTGACCATAGTTAAGAAAAAGTCGAAGGAGCAGAATGGACATTTTTTTTCTCGACTAAAATTCGAACAGTGAATGTTTTCCATTTCACTATATTGCACACCACACTATCTTTTTTCTTTTTTACTTCCACCGCTCCTAGCTTGCTCCTGTGATGGACTACAACCTCAATACAAACTAGTAGTCCCATCACTGGAGCCTTTTTTTGAACTCTATTTTATGGTTTATCCGATTAACCGATTAATCGAACCTAATCGACTAACTAATCGATTTTGAAAATAATCGTTAGCTGCAGCTCTAGTGGTTTTTGTTCGGGGGAACTCCATTCATTCCAAAATTGAATGTTAAAATAAAACACAATTTTGTTTAAGATCCGTCAAGTCTGTGATGGCATTATCAGGTGGTAAAGAAAGCTCTTTTGTCGGAATCTACTAGTGTATGGCCAGCTTTAGCAGTAAGCCAACTTTTTTTAATGTAAACTTGCAACACTTGAAATGTGAGATCTGCCATTATTTGTTTTTAAAGGCACAATCATCTTGATTCTGCCTTCACTACCTAGTGTGTGACTTTTCTGTAAGAGGCATGTGAAGTCTAAACTGATGTCCTGCATGCCTCTTTCTTGCTAGATATCGAACACAGGTCTGGGGTTATAGCCCCCAACCCTGGATCTTTAACCACTTCCCATCCACTGAACGCAGGGGGGCGCGCACGAGCGGGAAACCGCCAGGATTTTAAACGGCTAGCGATGGCCGTTAACATACAAGCGGTCCGGCGTCTGTAAAGACGCCCGATTGCTTGTCTGATGCAAGTCAGGGTGACCCCCCCTTACCTCTTGTCGCCGTCCCCACGATCCCAGGCGTCATCCATCCCGGGCGATGTGGCAGGTCTGTGCACTGAGAGCGGAGGGAGATCAGTACAGATCTCCCTCCGCTCTCCTCCCGGTCTCCGAATGCAGGAAGTGATGTAAGCTACATCACTTCCACATTCCTCTGTCACTCTCCGGTACAGAAACCGGAGAGAAGCTGATGACGCAGATCTGTGCTTCATCAGCTTCTCTGGGGGCCCCTAGGTGACAGGGGTCTTAGAGACCCCTGATGTCTCCATAAAGAGGACCTGTCACTGTAATTTGTTATTGCATAGGGGACTTCTTAGCACTAGGGCTGCAACAACTAATCGACATAATCGATTATAATCGATTATTGAAAAAGTTGTAAACTTTTTCAATCATCGATTAATCGGCTTCCCATTGGTTTGCAAATCGGCTTCCCATTTGGAGTCCTCTATAGCCGGTGCCATTCTGCATTCATTGCTGTATAATTTTACACTTTCCATTTCACTATATTGCACACCACACTATCTTTTTTCTTTTTTACTTCCACCGCTCCAAGCTTGCTCCTGTGATGGACTACAACCTCAATACAAACTAGTAGTCCCATCACTGGAGCCTTTTTTTGAACTCTATTTTATGGTTTATCCGATTAACCGATTAATCGAACCTAATAATCGACTAACTAATCGATTTTGAAAATAATCGTTAGCTGCAGCTCTACTTAGCACCCTATGTGATAACAATAACGTTAAGTGTGAAAAAAAAAAAAAGTTTAAAAACAAATTGCTCACAAAATAAATAAAATTTACACGCACACAAAATTAAAAAAAAAACCCCACAAAAGTTTTCTAAAGTCCCCCACCCCCACACAGATGCGCAAAAATGCGTTAGGTGTGCCTACACCCAAAAACAACGATTGCGCCCATTACGCCACACATGTGACATATCACCGCGGACGTCGCAGTGAGAGCAATCATTTTAGGGCCATCAATCACTGATAACACTAAACTGATGAGCGCTAAAATCTTTTAAAGCAACGCCTATGGCCAATAGGCGACGCACAGGGACGCGGGGAGAAGTAAAGAGGAGCAGGTGTGGGGGGAAGGTAGCCGCCGATAGACAGGCCCGATCTCAAAAGCAAGTTGCTGGACGACTGCTCAGGTAAGCCTGCACTTTCCCACACATGGTGCTCTATAATGTATTGCTGGGATTTGTATTCCTCTATAGCTGATGGTACATTGTGCTGTATACAGTTTAAGATCCGTCAAGTATGTATGTTATACAGCACAATGTACCATCAGCTATAGAGGAATACAAATCCCAGCAATACATTATACACTGTATGTACACTGTATGTATAATGTATTGCTGGGATTTGTTGTATTCCTCTATAGCTGGGGTTATTCTGCATTGTGCTGTATAGAGGACTACAAAACCCAGCAATAATACATTATACAGTGTTGCAATGCCGAATACCACTATCTATAAAGGACTACAAAACCCAGCAATAGTACATTATACAGTGCAATGCAGAATACCGCCAGCTATAATGTACTATTGCTGGGATTTGTTGTATTCCTCTATAGCTGATGGTATTCTGCATTGTGCTGTATTCTTTTACTTTCCATTTCACTATATTGCACACCATACTTTGTTTTTCTTTTTTACTTCCACCGCTCCAAGCTTGCTCCTGTGATGGACAACAATCTCAATACAAACTAGTATTCCATCACTGGAGCCATTTTTAAAAAACTTTATTTCCTTTTTTTATCTGATTAATCGAACTTAATATTCGGCTAACTAATCGATTTTCAAAATAATCGTTCATTGCAGCTCTAGAATGGTTGGGTGAGGAGGCTTCCCTTGCACCTCATGTCTCAAAGACTCTGGAGTTGGGAATAGAATCTGAGTGGACAGTGAGTGGCATCGGTGACAATGGTGATCACACCGTGTAATTTGGAGTCTAGAGACAGGATTGGGTCAAACATGGCCAAAGTCAAACCAGGGAGGTACAGAAATGGAATCCAAAATCGTGGTCAAATAAGCCAGTGGTCACACCAGTCGGGCAGCAAGGTACAAAGGCAGGAGGCAGATGCGGTGAACAAGCAGGAGGTTAAAGGGCAGACAGAAAACAACGTGGTCAGGGGCAATCCGAGTGAAAAGGTAATCAAAGCTACAGAGTACCAGGAATTGCAGGCACAGCTGCAAGAAAATCCAGTAACTTGGAATCAGGCAGGCCGGTTTAAATAGGCTGGTCTGTTAGGTGTCATAACATCCTTTCCTGTGCGCCGTTTTGCACGCATGTTCGGTAGCGCGATAGGTGTGCCCGCAATATGGAAAACGGGATTACGCACATGCGCAGTAACAGGTGGTTTCTTACATGCCCATGTGTGAACTGCACTGGGCGGTTGCTATTTCATTATCCCACATGAGCGTTAAAGGAGAACTATGGGGAAAAACCATAACCCCATAGTTCTCCTTTTTAATAGGCAGCAGAGAGGCGTTAAAAATGCTTCTCTGTCAGGTTTTAACATGCGTGTGAAAGAGGCCAAAGAGTAGAGAAAGTGCTAAAGTAATGCTGTATGGATGACATAATAAGTACAGGCACGATTAGCCTGAAGCTGGCCACATGCACATCGCACTCTTGCTATAAAACATCTGTTATAGATATTCCGACAGCTGTATACCATAGTCTATGGTCCGTAAAAAAAAAATTTGGTTCCTCACACTTTATATTTGTTGGTGAATCTAAACGCGATTTATGAAATCAAACTGTGATCTGCTTAATAAATAATGAGTTGGAGTCATCCTTTTGCACCTATATAATGATAAGGTTGGGTTGGCTTTGTAACTCAGACATGTCATCATGATGCGAATTGGTGCTTCAGATGTGGTATACATTGTAGAGTGGATTGGCAGAAATGTGTGTTTCATAAAAAAAAAAAAAAGTGGGATGTTACATTTGACAAAGGAAAGGTGAAGCTTTACAAATCGCTTTCTGTGTGGTCGGCTCGCAGCCTTGTTGCTCATTATTTGGTTTTCTTTTTCAACCAAGTCAGTTGGAACCCAAGAAAACTGCAGTATCTGAATTTGTCAGTTGTCCTATCCGAGGAGTTAAAAAAAACAAAA